CCTGTGTGCGCCTTCAGCTACTCCATCACCAACATCACTAACCACATCCGTAAGGCACATTCTGGTGTTCACGTCACACAAGATGCAGCAGCAGCTTGTGGTCTGGTGGCGTGCAGCTGCGGTCAGGTAGTTTTGAATGCAGTGGCGCTGAGGAAGCATCAGGGCATCCGGCACTGCCAGGCGGTACTGCCACCAACACCACCAGAGACGCACCCCAACATGGTAGCAAACACGGTAGCAGCAGAGCCAATATTCCAATTTCAAGCACCACCGTCTCCAGAATCTCAGAGCCAGGCCGCATCACCTCCACAAGACACGCAACAGTCAGACAATGGCAACACGGCTCAAGACCAGGAAGATCTACCACTTGTTCAGCCAGACAGTGGTCCTGCAAGTCCAGGCTCTCCCAGTGAACGATCACTCAGCCCAGCATCTGACGTGGACGGTCCAACGCTTCCTGACTTGCCAGCAGAAGAGCCAGCACCACCGTTAGATGCAGGAGACCGCCATCAAGAGGACATACCAGCAGACGGCATTGTGATTTGGCTGGGAGGCGGTGAGCCAGAACTGCCAGTGGAGCCGCCAAGCATGCTTCTTGCGTCTGCCGCAGACACCGGTACACATCTGCCACCAGCACCTCCATGTACGCCAATCAACAACTGGGACGTGGAGAGCACCACCGATGTGGACTTCTTCTCCATCACTGTCTCTCCTGCTTCACTCCTGCACATCCATCCTCCCGGTTGCTACCTAGCACTGGTGGCACACGCACCAGAGTCACGGGACCTGGACATGTACAAGAACTGGGTCTTCTTTGCGGAATCCAAGTGCCGTCTCAGCTTTGAACCGCAACACAAGCTTCCGCTCATTGAGCGTCTCCGTCAAGCACCACAGCACGCCACGCTGCTGGCATCACCACATGCAACCACACTCACGTACGGAGAGCTGCGCATTGACAGCGCCATATTGGTGGAAGCGCTGCAAGACATAGGCTGCCAAAGCGTCCGCATGTCTGCATTTGGCATCAAGGTGCCCATTGAGCGGTTCATGGATCCAGCACGTCATGCAGAACACCCGCTACAGCACACCAACATGTATGACATTGGGCGTACCGTGTACACTGGCAGAGTCACAGCACTAGCGCCCAGGANAACCCATGACGGTGGGTGTGATCAAGAAGCGCATTGAGACTCTGCACGCGTGGAAGGAGCGTATCAGGGAAGCGCCATCAGATCTGGGACAGGGCATCCGCCTGGAGCTCACCGTACAAGCATTGTCCGTGGTTCAAGCACAAGCAGCAGCAGAAGCAAGCCAGTACCTGGACGCGCAGTACCTGTTCTCAGCAGCGGCTGGTGATGAACAGCTGCTCACGCACACGTTTTCCAGAGGCGCCGTGATCACCAATACAGAGGCAATGGCGGCCATTGCAGAAGAGAAGCGGCTCCTCAGCGGCAAAGGCGCCAAGCAGTCCACTCTGGTGCAGCGTCAAATGGTCACAGACGTGTACAATGCCATTGGTTGGAATCCTGGACGCAAGCCCACACTGCTTGACAGCCGCACCGCCTGGTGGAAGCAGAGCCAGGCAGCCACAGCTTTGGAACAGCAGCTGGAGCGGTTTCAGACCGCAGCGCAAGCGCGAGAGCTCTTCTCACACCTGCAGATTCATTTGCGGTGTCAAGCATGCCGCTATCATGGGACCTATCAGCGCATTGGCCTGGCAAGTTCATTCCGCGTCCGCTGCAACCGCAATCAATGCCATCATGCGCTCAGCAAGCAGCGCTTCCGTGCGCACGTTGCAAGAGAGGTGGAGAGCGGCCATCTGACAGTCAACCTGGATGCGCTGGTTGCAGACATCTTGCAGCTGACGTTCCTTCCTGCACCAGAGGGAGTACGCTTGCGGGCTCTCAGTACACGGCAGGACCTGCTTGGTCTCAAGCGCTCAAGCACGTATGCAGCAGTTGAAGACAGTCTTCTGCGTTGCGTGTCCAAGATGCTGGAGGAAGAACACGGTGCCCAAACTGCACTTGAGATTCAAGACGAGGCGCTGGAATGGCTGCGTGACCACCCAGCAGCGGTGACCAACCACCTTGGCACTGCAAGCCGGCCAGCAGCTGACGCCCTCCTGGAGCGCTTTGCAGAGGAAGATACAGAGCTGACGCTGCAAGAGGAGATGCTACTTCTGCACGGCGTTGCTGGTGCATTTGATGTTGCGTTTGCACACTTGAAGATTGCACGCATGGCGTACACATGCCACATTGTCCCGCTCAACAGCCCTGGTCCGTACCTTGGCTTGATCAATGTTGGCGTGCACAGCTATGAGATTCTAACCCACATCTAGCATTGCACACGGCTGTAGAGGTAATAATACTGCCAGTGGACGGGCAGCATCTTTGATGAAAGGTACGATCCGTTGCACCAAAGTGTGTGCAGGTGAGATTGGCGGTCAGGGAACTTGTCTGGTACCCGCCTGCTGGCAGAGGATTTTGGCTGGGCGGGAAGAGTAAGGGACAAGTTCCCTCATTGGCGCCCAGGGAACTTGTCTGGTACCCGCCTGCTGGCAGAGGATTTTGGCTGGGCGGGAAGAGTAAGGGACAAGTTCCCTCATCGGCGCCCAGGGAACTTGTCTGGTACTCGCCTGCTGGCAGAGGATTTTGGCTGGGCGGACAGAGTAAGGGACAAGTTCCCTCCCAGCCAGGCACGCACCTGTGCTATTTCCTGGCAGCAGAGCGGCACAAATTTCAGGGCACTTCCCCAGTGTTGCGCTCAGCTGAGAAGTCTGGCCGGAAATCTGATTGCCGGGCTTGACTGTCAGCCGGTCAGCCCTCATTTGGCTGAGGGAACTTGTCCTGTACTCAAATTTGGCAGGGGAAATTGGCGGCCAGGTCAGAGTACCAGACAAGTTCCCTCCGTCTGAATTTGATTTATTTTTGCTTTCTGGACGTGTCAGTGGTCTAACAAAGCCTGTAATTGATCAAATTCGCTTTCTGGACGCGTTTTTGAGGTCTAACAAATCAAATAACTCACCAGTAATTCAGAAATTCGCTTCCTGGACGCGTCAGTGGTCTAACACGTCAATCAAATCACTGAATATTCCGCAAATTCGCTTCTGAGACGTGTCAGAGGTCTAACAAAGCCTGTAATTGATCAAATTCGCTTCCTGGACGCGTCCCAGGGTCTAACACGTCAATTAAATCACTGGATATTCCGCAAATTCGCTTCCCAGATGCGTCAGTGGTCTAACAAATCTCCAAATTTGACTTTGATACGCGTCAGTGTTCTAACAAATCACTCAATTTAAATCTAGCGGCCGCAACAGACCAATTTTGACTTCACTGCCGGCACCAGTCACCACAACAACTCAATCACCAACACATCAGCACACCACAACATTTGTTTGAGTGACATACACACACAAGATCCCCTCTAACATGGTAAAATAATCAAGATTGGGTGGACTGGAGGGAGCTGACAGCCAATGCCACGTCAATTGAGCACGCACACGTCAATGACCAGGCCAGCAGAGGCTGTGTGGCTGTCTGTGGGATGCAACCAAGTGTATATGGTGTGTGTGGAGCTGGAGCAACCAGCAGGAGGCGTCTGACAAGGCAGAACCATGCACCACGGCCACACCGCAAGCTGTCGATCGAAAACACGCACCACAGCTGACGGGTGAATCAAAGTGGACCAACAGGCAGCGACAGGCATGCAGACCATGCAAACAGGTGTGTGGCAGCCCAGGAAGGATGTATGTGGCCAGCTGGAAGCGTCTGCGGGTGGATACGGTGCCATTGGAGGTGTCGACAACGGCTTTGGGGTTAGGGTTAGGGTTACACAGGTACCTGCGGAGCACCTGAGAATTTCAGCAAATCTGTACTAATAAGATATGTAGGTATACCCCAAAGGAAGCTGTACACAAAATCCTAGCCCTAGGCCGTGGGGCGGCGGCGGCGGACGACGAACCAATCCGTTGCTTTTTCCCCCGCCAAAGGGCAGACCCTCCATTTGTCCGTTGGTCCAACGGACACGCCATTTTACACTGCTCCAGTGCAGCGACGGACAACGCCAGATTTTGGCAGGAGCAATGGACAGCAAGCGGCGGACGCGTCAAAATTGCCAGGAAATTGGCTGGGCAACGGTCAAATGTGGAGGACTGGTCCAGTGCCCAACGTACAAATCCAACTTTCACACTGGCGCCGTGCCCAACGTACAGATCCGGCGCGTTTGTCCATTGGTCCG